TCCTCCTCCTCCTCCTCCTCCTCCTCTCCTGCCCCTACTCCTCCTCCATGACAGTCTTCATTCGATCTCCATCTCAGGGTCAGGTACGTTTATGTAAACACAGGGTACATATTAACCCGACCGGGCTGTGTGACTAACGTCAATACACCGTTGCTAGGGTATCTAACCCTAGCAATACCGTTTCTTGGAGCTAGGTACATATATGCTGAGAAGAAACAGGTCTGGTACACTTGTGTATACATATACGTACCTCGGGTAGTACATATCTGTAGTACCTGATTATACGACAACGAACCATTCAGCTTTAGTTTTAGTTTGACTTTAGTGTTTACTTTACTAGTCTTTTACTCTTTATTTTAGCTTTAGTTCTGCCTAAGGCGTTACCTTGAATGTTTCACTGGCCAGCGAGACATGCTGCTCCTTAGAATCCTTACTAGTGTCGCCTGTATGCAATTCGTGTTTTCTCTCAGTCGAGTCCTTATTCCCCATTTGTGTGAGGAACTTACCTACCCATCCTTCTTTTCCAAATCATAGATTTATAATAACATGTCAACAGCAACAGCCAGCAGAAACAAAAGACAGAGGGCGCTGACACAAAAACTTCCGCAACCTTTGACCTAAGTCCGAAAGTTGTGAACACATCGGCACTGACTATTTATAGATTATTTATTATTTTTATAAATAGAGTGTGTGTGTCATTCTAATGCCGGTTTCACATTCCTGATTAGCGTATCAATAAATGCTATATTGTGTGTAAAGTCTCTACAATGTAGTACTTACACCTTCCGCAAGTGCAGCGTATCGTCGTAGTTTGGTCTGACCACCGACAGAGAGTACACGCTAGAATTTAGAAATGTGATTGTTTATCTCTAACGTAAACTCATGTATTTGGCGCTTGTTGATATATACTAGAACGACAACATGCCAGCTAGTGAAATTCTACCAGCAGTTGCAGCATGGACGTTACTAATATGCTTCTCTGCCTTATATTATGCTTTCCCGTAAGTATCCATCCAGTTACGCATTGACATTTCCTGGAGTAGGATGTGTACACGTGACGTAACACAGGCACTTGACTTGGAACGTGTCAATAAAAAAAAAATGTAAACACGAAATGTATTTACTACCAAAGTCTTAATGTTTCTCTACTCTATTTCGCCTAGCTATTATTGCCGATAACTTGCTGTAAATGCCGTTCAAATGCTCATCTGCAACACACAAGTACACCGCACGGCCCAAGGATAGACTCCGATAGAGAACATGGGTCCCAATAAAACCAATGTGCCTAACCCTAACCCTAATCCTAACCCTAACCCTATCCCTAACCCTAACCATAACCATAACCCTAACCATAACCCTAACCTATTATATTGATATAATATTATATTTATATTGATGTAAATGACATTGGTTTTATTGGGACCCATGTTCTCTATTCTTGAACCCACCGCACGCCCGCCCTGTGCACAAACAACATGAATAAGAGAGTATATTTTTGTGATTATTTTTACATGATGTGACAGCGGCCGGGTACTAGCCATGGAGGATGAGCACTTCCTCCTCGTGCTGCTACTGCAAGCTCTGCTCAACATTTTCGTCATAGCAAATTTTGCCGCTGCCACGTTCATGGATCCCGGTGTCTATGCGAAAGGTACGCCATTCTCTAGTGCGTCCAGTCGGCGCTGCCATCTGCTCTGAATATATGATAGGGAAAGTGATACATGTAATCCGCGGACAATTCCTGCACCATCACACGGTTTGTCATCTACCCTGTCTCGTATAGTACGTGTATTTCAATGTGGTACGTATCAGTAAATGTATGGACGATGCAATTGGAGTCGAATTCTTAAGAAAGAGTTGCATGGTCTCTCATCCTATTCCCTAGCTCTGTGCATATATGAAAACCTCGACTGCCCTTTACATATCTAGGAGGACATGAACATGAATATCATGAGCATGAAAGTCCACTCTACTAGTTGCTGCAGCACTGATGCAATTTCAGAAATTTATAAAAGCTCCACTAGGTGGTAGAAATAAGTAGAATGAGTTAGCATGACTGATGTAGTTTGTAAAAGCTGGTACCAAAAGTTCATATGTACGGAATGTACTTCCGATTAGGATAAGTTATAGATGCAAATGTTCTAGATTATTGAGTAGCAGACTGCGGTAAGAAATTCTTTTTATCGGCATAGGAGCAAGGCTGTGCATCTGCCGAAGAGCATTGACAATCAGATTTTCAATCTATGTGCATTGACAGCTAGAGATACACGCATGAAATCTTTTCGCCCGTTTGCATGAAAAGCTCAGGATTTTTAGCCTATGTGTGTACCTGTGTAACGGCTAACTCACGTGTTTTCAACGTTCAGGTAAGGATGAGGATGGAGGTAACGACTTCCGCAGTCCGCTCTACAAGAACGTGGAGATCAACGGCATCACGGTGCGCATGAAGTGGTGCACGACGTGTCAGTTCTACCGGCCGCCGCGCTGCTCTCACTGCAGCGTCTGTGACATATGCATAGATGTGAGTAGTGGCAAGAGTGTTAGTAACAGTGGTAGCAGTATCGTCGTCAGCAGCAGCAGCATCATCATGACCATCATCATTGTCATCATCACCATCATTATCATCCACAGCAGCAGGAGCAGCTGCAACACTTCTATAGATTAAGCTGAGAGCTAGATTGAAATCAATATGTCTTCTTATATTAAACCAACCTTTTACCTCTAGTGTGGTACTGCGCTTGGCAACGTTCTTTTGTTAGTAACATTAGCACATTTTAGCCGAACTGTCTCAATATAACGTGTGTTTTGTAAAGCGCCCCACAGTGAAATAAGACAAAATGATAGTCATTTTACAGTACGAGTACTCGTTAATACACGACAGAGATTTCTCATTGTTGTGCTGCTGTGGAATTTTCGTATAGGATGTGGACGTTCTAGTTTTAGTTTAGGCCGCGGCTACACGTTCGGTCACCGGATGCCCAGCTCCTAGGCTACGTGTCCGGTCATATATTTCTTATGTGAACCCAACCATATTTTTTTAGTAAAAAAACAATAAACAATAAGTTTTTACCATAATATTACTAACCTTTAGGTTTTTTATCAAAAAAATAGGTTTTTTGTAACTTTTGAAGCAATAGTAAATCCAGTAAAATCAACGATTTGAAAGGGGGCGTGGCCTAATTGTGACGTGGATTTGGGAATCTGTGCTGAGCTTTGTAATGGATGACCGGACGCGTAGCCACTGTGTTTAGTTTAATGCTGGTTCTCCGACTGTATTGCAGAGATTCGATCATCACTGTCCGTGGGTGAACAACTGTATAGGGCTTAGGAACTACCGCTTCTTCTTCATGTTCCTCCTCTCTCTGTGCTTGCACATGATCATCGTCTTCGGCTGCTGCCTGTGGTTCATCCTCAGTCCGCAAGTGGACCTCGAGTTCAAGGACACAGCGCCGATAATAACGTATCCTTGTATGGTCGCGCTGGCAGTGGGTCAACGTAGTAGTCAGCGAGCCGTGCAGCCGTGATTTGCACGGTCAGTTTTGAAACTGCACGGCCAAAAATGTGTAGCACGGCCTAAAATATTGATGCTGAGACACACATGTAAAAAAATTGCACTCCCAATTTTTTTTTCTGCACTCCCATAATACTCATTCCTGGCTAATACCCTGCACTGGGTTGTGGCTGGTAGGGTCACCTGTGCCAAGCTAGTTCTGCTGGCAGAACTACTAGAACATATGTGGAATGAAATCGTATGGGGAAGCAATGGGGCATCCGTATAATGTGCAAAATCATGGCTCGCATTTAGTAAAAATCGCTCTCTAGTTTGGCGCTCCCACCTCTTGGTTATGCCCCTTCCTTCTTCAATCATCGGTGACACTAATCTGTTTGTCCGTACACGTCTTAGCGAGTTGAGGCATGCGATCAAGACTTAACTTTGACTAGCTAACAGACTTTAGAGTGTACAGTGATTGAACGTCTTTAAATTGACTACCTCACGAATTTTCTATGGTGTATATTTGTAAAATTTTTGTTGCATTTTTTTACATGAAAAGTAAGTACTAACGGCACTAAATGTATCCTCAAATTCCTACCTGATAAGATTGTTTTTCAACTAGTTAAAAATCCAAAAAATCTGCACGATTTGATATATTGATCACGACATTAAATGCTTGCTATGGGCTATGTATGAGTCACGAGTGTTTGGTCACATTGAACGGAATAGCAAAATAGGAAGTATATTGCAGCAATTTAACCATAAAAAGTGAACAGAATCACTTACATTTTGTGAAAAAGGGGACATATTTTTGTACTTTTACTATTTACGATGACGTAATCACTTTAACTAGCGACGACGGCATCAGGCTGATTGTCATGGCGGTCGTTGGATTACTATTTATACCCGTCGTTGGACTCCTGGGATTTCACATGATGCTGGTGGCAAGAGGCAGAACTACAAATGAGCAGGTACGCCTAACCACAGGTTGCCGGGGGCAACCGCTTCCCGTCCGACGTTCCGATACCGGATGTCAGAAATCGAGTTGGGCACTTATCCACAAATGCGCAGTCACCTTTTTTATTCCTGTAGTTTTCCTCGAATGTTCGGGATTTCTACCGGAATGTCTGTCGTCGTGGGCAACGGTTCTGGTCAGATTAGAGTAATTCTTATTGATAACATGTTAAATATTAATAATTAAATATTAAATAAATATGAATTAAATATTTTGTGCGATGTCATGTAAAATACGTTTATGATTAATCAAGTGTCGCCAAAAATGCTTACGTTAAGTCGGTGGAATGTGGTTGGCACTGAAGTAGTAGTTTTGTTGTTTGCAATGCTGGGCAAAAGTTCCACAGAGGTTATGCGTGAGGTGCGAAATCGTTGTCTGTGATGCCTGCACCTTGATTGGTCACACGACTATTTTCATCTGTCATGTTGGTGTTTACCTTGTGATTACCATCCCAATAACTAACTTTAGATTCGCCACGTCTCAGATGCGTCCCGAATAAGTAAATGATAAAATACAATAAAAAATACATAATTATTAGTAATAATATGACAGTGTTAATTAATGACTAACGATGGGAGACGCTGCTTGCCTTACAGTAACGATGGTTGCCTTACAGGTAACAGGAAAGTTCCGTGGAGGTTACAACCCATTTGGCCTCGGTGTGGCGCGCAACTGCCTCTACATGATATGCGGACCACTGTACCCAAGGTCTGTATCGCAAACGCAGCGTTTGTAGGAATGCTGGCGGTTAACGACGGTGACACAAGGTGGCAGCACGTGGCAGCAGCATTTAAACTATCTCGTGATGAGCTTTGATTACTTGGCGGCATTATTAGAAATGTCGTTAATAGTTACGAGTGTTGTATATCTAGGGTGTCGTAACTTTTGCCGTGACGCTGCATGTGTAATTTTCACATCCTAGACTCGTGACACCATAGTATAACTAGTTATGATTTTTCCCCCCAACAGATCTGTCATTTCTAACAGATTTCTGAATCGCCCAAGAAGGTCTAGTTAACAGGCACCATTTTATCTCGCTCTCTCCTTTCGTCCGGTAGTCAGCGTTTCCATGTGCGTTGCAGGCTAGATAAATACTACGACAAAGACAACGTTCTGAAGCTTCTTCCGTCATCAAGCGTCGCTATCGCTAACGACGTCGAGCTGACCGTGCCAAGCAAGAACGGAGGCATCGTCACGGCAGCGGTCGCCCGGCAACGCTTCATATCGAAGGTGAGCTCATCGTAATGTTTCCGTTGTTGTTGTTATTCGATTCGAAAACCGATGTTAAAGCGCATTTTGACGATCGAATTCGTTCGGAACTGGTTTTTTCGACTAGTTTTTAATGTCGACCGATCTCCCCCCTCCCGCGAATCTCTCAAAGTTTCACGAAGATATTCTATGTTTGCACGTGAGATTCTCTGTTGTTTGTCACGGAGCCGTACGTACGACATGGGTACCACCTCGAACTTACGCTTCTCTTCTCTCATAGGTAACGGCTGAGGAAGAGGAAGAGGAGGAGGAGCATGAGATGGATGAGCGAGGATACAGGAGAGAGGACAGCGGCGAGGTGGCCGGGGGAGGTCTCGTGCCCCTCGCACGCACTCTCGACCCCGGGTCTTACACGAACCTATACGACGCAGAGGCGGGGACTGGCGTGCAAAACATGCTGGAGGATAGTCGGATGGAGGTAGCGTGGCCTGCGCGAAGATCGGTATGCCATGTCGTAATCACTGTCACCATCGTCATCCTCGTTGTCCTTGTTGTCATCGTCTTTACTGTCGTAATCGTCATCATTGTTATCGTCGTTACTGTAGAAGTTGTTGTCGTTATTGTCATATTGGTGTCATCGTCATCATCATCACCACCATCATCATCATCATCACCACCATCATCATCATCACCATCATCATCATCACCATCATCATCATCAACACCGTCATCATCATCACCACCATCATCATCATTAACACCGTCATTATCATTACTGTGATGGTCACTGAAATTTGTCTGTAATTTTTCTTGTAAAATTTTTCAAGCAAGTTGATTTAGTTTGTGAGCGCTAGCTAGCTGACTTGCTGACTTGCTGACTGTGTGTGCTTTGCTTATCAGGCGCATCCCAGTGTGACAGCTCCATCCAGACACTTGCTCAACAGTCCCTCTATGGCAGGAAAACACGTCGAAGGAAGAGACATGGCTCCCGTGCATCCAAAAGGAAGGAGTGTGTTCCCACTGGTAAGCAATTGCTTCCTTGTTCTTCTCCTAATCTGGTTCATGCGTCACATAGGAAGTAGTAGTATCGTATGGCATCAACATCACACCTCCGCAGCCCCGCCGTCAATCCAATTACCAAACGAGTTCGCCACATTTATTTATGGTGACATATCGACTTTTGGTATCCTCATCACTGGACAGTTTAGTATGGTATGTTTACACATGGGAGGTGGGGTGGGAGTATGGTCGATTGTCTTGGTCTGGTAATTTAATCGAATAACATGGTAATTGGACGAATCCATTAAAATATGTATTATATTGATTTTATTAATATAATTGTTTAATATAAATTAATTTTGATGCTTAACAATAGAAAGTAATTAAATAACAAAATTAACAATTTAAAATATCGATATTTTATATTTAATTTATGTATACGACAACAAAACGTCAAGGGTAACATGTTAAACCGATCCAGTAACGATCACATGGTATTGATAACGGATCGTTACTCGAGCAACAACACTCGAATTTTGCGGTTTACGAAAAATTTCCATTAGGAGTTTTGTCCAATGAATCGCCACCGCTCTCTATGCAGCATTGTAAGTACTTGGTGTTCTTGTGTTGCGACGCGACGCAGCCTGTACGGACGCCGCTCGCTCACACCGCTATTCGCTCTTTCCCGCACAGGACGACCCGGACATGCTGTACCAGATTGACCCGCGATTCACCCCGCCCATCGGCCCGCG